AGTGTTGTATCGGAAAAATGAAGGAATGGCTATGGGATCATTGACAGTACTGATAACAAAGAGCATATTAATAGAATTTTGGAAGAGAAATCCTGTAAATCGAATCGAAATCCACTCAGCTACCCTCAGCACATTAGTTCAGTGGTAGGCAATGATTCACACCTACTGTGTAAGGGCTTATGATACTACCTGGCTGCTCGAACCTTGGTAGGTGGAGTGACGTTCGAACTCATGATCCATGAGTTGAAAGTCAACTCCCTAAACCAATGAACGATAACTCCAGTATCATGGGACTACTAAGAATGAAGACAATCACGACTGTTAGTAATAATGGATAGTGGGTAGCAGTGAGATGCAGGATGAGCATTTGCCACACGTCAGCTCGATGTACCTGGCTCCCAGTATGTTGTTATTCTCAGTAGGACTCGAATACAGAACCGATTGCATCAAATACCAGAGGATTATCCATTAGACCACGGAGTCACATGCTGTAAAACCATTTGCATCCTCGCACAGAATATGATGAAGACCCATGGATAATACTCTAATCATAATCAGCAGAAACAATATGCAACAATTTTATGCACACTTAAACGGTCACGTCGATATAATAAAAATAGAAAAGTATACGGTGGAATAGTATTGTAGGAAACGACAAGACTGAGACATACAGTAGTGATGAAATATCGTACACTTTCCACTATGACAGTTATTTGCAAAGTGTGCTTCATTTCCGCTTCTGCTTCTATCTCAGCTTTCCCTTAATACGCCCACATTGTCTCTTGCGTTCATCTGGGCAGAATATTTATCCATCGCTGGTAATTGCCTATGATATCAGCCACCCTCTCAGCCTATACTACTTATATCCATTCTGACCAGGAATGTCCACTAAAGTACTGCCTATATTAGACTGTAAAACCACTGGAATGATGGATAAAAGTCTACAAACCAATAATAATCGAAGAGTAACATATTCAGAAAGATTTCTTGATTTCTACTCGCTTCATCCAATCTGACGGAAACAAGGGTTAACAGAGAGTCTTGCAAGTAAAGTACTTACTTTAACAATATGCCATGAAGACCAATGTAGTGACATGAATATTTGATTCAAAAAGTTACTAAATCGTCGCTATCCAAAAGATTTGATAAAAGCTAACAACACTAAAGAAAAGAAAAAAACATCAGCTGAAGATAATAGCTCTATAAAAACAGTAGTATTGTAGTGGGCGTTGCTGATCAGAAGGGATATAAGTAGTATGTGTTGAGAGGGCGGCAAAGATCATGGAGATTACCAGCAATCGGTAAGGATTCTTCCCAGATAAACGCAAGAGACAACGCGTGCGTATTAAGAGCAAACCCAGATAGAAGCAGACAAGGAAATGAAGCACATTATACAAATGACTGTCATAGTGCAAGGTGTACCACCACAATATTGGATGACCCCTGTATCAGATGTGAATAATAAACATTCCTTCCATCTCTGTCTTCTCGTTTCCTTCAGTAGTACCATACAAGAAACGTATCTCACAAGCAATAAGAGAAAAAAATCATTAAAAACCATAGGAAACTTGACTAATTTTAAACCAACAGAACATATCAGAAATATAGTAAACCAGCTCGGGAATCCCAATAAACACTCCGAGAAGGAAACAATACATAAAATACCATTTGTTAACTGTTCAGTCAGTTATAGGCTTCAAAGGGTATAATTATTCAAGGTTAGGTTAAATGGAAATCGAACACCATAAAGTGCAGGTCTATACAGACCATCCATGTATACCTCTGCAGTTTGTCCACCTGGTCCTGCTGCCCTTCCCCGTTTCAGGTTACCTACCGCTTTCTCGACTTCTGCTAATATTACGGAGCCTATCTCAATGTTCCACTCAGGATCCGACTGGATAGGGGACAATGCAATGGTGGCTGGAAGCCAGTTAAACTATTCCTCCAAGTGTTCTGCCCATCGTTCCAGTCGTCTTCCATGCAGATCCGTCCTTCTCCCCTATAGTCTCACTAACCACAGTTGACCTCCCCCCAGCTTCCTTAATAAGTCTAAATAACTGTCTGCTGTTACCAATCGCCGCTGCCTTCTCCATCTCTTTAGACTTCGCTGCCCACCACTGTCCACGGTCGTTGTGTAGACTGTTTTCCAATCTACTTTTAAGTTGCGCTCCCTCTTCACTGTACTCAGAGCCGGCACGGATGCGTTCACGTGCATACATTAGTTCGGAAGATTCTGCTGATATCCACTGGCTCTTTCTAGCTTCTATTTTGGTGTCGGTTACACTATTCAGTGCTGCTTTTATAGCAGACTGAAGATGGTACCAAACTTCTTCTGGATGAGTAACAGTCTTCTGTTCCAACAACTGTCTAACCAATTTCTCACTGAACACGGCTTTGGTATTTTCGTTGTGGTACTGGTTTTGTTGCCAAATCTTTCTTACATCCTTTGAAACACAGGCATATACGCGCTCGCACCAACGTGTGGTCGCTATCCAGACACGTACTTCAGAAGGGAAGCGGCAGTCTTCCACCAACCCTCTCCAGTGACGACTAATAGCAATGTGGTATATCTGTGTCCATCAATGAGTTGGGCTCGGTGGACACCACGTCAGACAGTGTCTTTCTTTATGTCTGAAATTGGAGCTGGCTAAAAATAGGCGGTTATCTGAGCATAGTTGTAGTAGGCGATCACCGTTATCTGTACGTCCAGCCGGGATTCCGAAAGTCCCACCTAAGTGCCTTTCTGCCTCACTCAGCCTAGCCAGACAGAAAAAATCAAGGCACAACCTCGCACAGTGGCACACTCGTTCAATTCACGACATTTTACAGTCCACGGGAAAATATGGACTTCAAACGAGGCAAATCTGCATAACAGGAGCAACTCAAAGGTGAAAATTACTCAAAACATTCAACCCTCACAACATAACAAAGAGTGAATACATCTCCATCACACTGACCGATTTCCAACCACCTCAACCACTGACTCCCAGTTTCGAAAACACGAGTCACATAGTCTACACCCACCTCACCTAACATAAACATAGCTCAGACCAAAAATCAGGGACTGGCGTCTCTTCTCTGTCAGGCAGTCCTCAACATCCACCAGAATTACACAATCACGTAGGTGATGGCTAGACACGGGTAGTAAATGCTCCAGCCACCTCAGTCAATGAAGGCTTACAACCTTGTCGACCAACTTGCCTAGTACCCTTCGCCTAACCTTGACCTCACCCACATGGCGATTCCATTATACACCACCAACGATATGATGATACCTATACCCAAGTACCACTAACCACTCCATATGCACTGCACTTATCCACCTTTGGCTTCCCAGTGGTTGACCTATTCTCTGGTTGACTTGGAGCTCCCAGACCACATTGTCCTGCTAGGTAGAGATGCTGATGAAGTGTAGTCTTGTGAAGGCGTTGAGGAGAAATTCGAGTATGTTCGGCATGCATTTCGCACCTGTCAAATATAAGATGATGCTTGCAAAGCGATCTTAGAGTAGTTCGAGCGAAATGATTGTGAGTGAAGTGGTTGAACCTGCTGACCACTTCACATATTTGAGAAATTGCATCAGACCAGATGGGCTGGTTGCTGGCGTTATCTCAGGTGGGATACAGAGGAGCTGACTGACACTGGCCAACTGGTGTCATCTGCTGCACCGATTGGGGCGATTTCTGCGACTACCCATCAAAGAACGAGTATACTGCACTCCAGTCCGCTCTGTCCTGTTGTACGGCTTTGAAACATGGCCGTTGGAAGTAGAAGATATGGAGTGCTGAGTGGTATTTGGGTATAGGTTTCATCGAATCATTGGTGGTGTATGGTGGAAACGCCATGAGGGTGAGGTCGAGATTAGGCGAAGGGCACTAGGCAAGTTCGTCGATGGGGTTGTGGACCTTCATCGACTGGGCTGTTTTGGAAATGTAGTGTGCACGTCGAGCCACCACCCACGTGCAATCTTGGGGGAGTTGGATTAGGCTGGAATGTCGTTGAAGATGGCCGGACAACAAGGTGGCACCAGTGCATGAAGTCCCCGACTACTGGTTCGAATTGTGTTTGTGTTGGGGGAGGAGGGTGTAGACTACGTGGGTGGGGTTACCGAAACGACAGGAATCAGTAGTTGAGAACTGTTGGTGAGATGGCTGAAAATCGGTTACAGCGGTAATGTATTCACTCCTTAACATCTTCTTATGTTCCAATATTCGCACTAACCTTTATCTTTAGACTGTTTATTCTCTCACACAACTTCGCCTACTTTGATATCACTCCTTTTTATCCAACTGTTCTTTGTGTACTACTGTGAAGTGTGGCAACTTGAACCGATGCACCTGTGTCCGAGGTTCTACATTGATTTGTCAGTGCCAGTCAGTCAATCACAGTCTGAGATCAAACAGACTTTTATGATTTTATACGATTCAGAAAACTGCTTCTAATTATTTTAAAGACATTAACAGAAGAAGTTTCACGCTGAGGAAAAACAGAAACCTCACATATTTTATCCTGTCACCTACACACGTATACCATTTAAGATGCAACACACAAACTTGTCAGGTTTGGTTGGCTATTAAGACTAGGGATGACTAAAAATAGTATTCTGACAAATCTCAAACACTTATGTTACAACTTTCAGAGTACAATCATTGAGCATGAAAATACACTTTGACGTCAGTGACTATGTCATCGAGGCAGGCTATAAGTGCATCCCATCTCCGAAAGTTGACACACTATTTTTACTACTTATCGTCATTACAAAGATGTGATACTTGGTTTCTTATATAACGGATCACAGAACCCAACTTTGCCAACAGAAATGAAGAAATAACATATGAGATGAATTGTTTATTTTAGAATATATGACAAACCCAGTTGTGTTGCACATTAACAGTTGTGAGTAAAGCGAGCATCATGAATACAGGTGACGCTTTACCTGTATTCAGTCATATGGCCTACATCACATATACTGCTAAGTGTACGCATTATGGTAATAGGTATTACAACAGTTTTCGAACAGCATCACAGATGGCTTCCATTTTCTGACTATCTACATACCCATCACCATTCTAGATAAATACAATAGATATTAATATTAACAGATAACACACAGATGTACCTTCTTAGAATGTAGAAGTGGTCCACCGACAACTTGAACTTCAAACCAGCCAGTTGATTGAGGCGTCCCTTCACCAGTCTAAAATACAGCTAAAATATCACTCGGCTTACGATCTCAAGTTTTCCTGGAAAGCGACGCTCCAACTGCTGCTTGAAGGACTTATACTATAACAAAATCACGTAAAACATAAATATTGGAGATAATAATCAAAGCACTACTAATTTCAGAAATTAAAGATATCATGCACTTCAAACTTGCCATAAGCATTCTTGGGAAAATACAACTTGGAGGTACTAACACGGAAAGACCAAATGATATACACAATATGAAGTGCCACATCTACTATAATGACCTGGAACTTAATACCAAGAATACACTAACTTGATATCCGTTGATCATAGTTGTGAAACAATACTGCTAAAAGTAATTGTACTGTGGGAAAAGCAAAGGCTGTTCTATACCTTGCCAATTCTTGCGAAGACCTACCATTTAACATTTGAGAATGATTATGCAAGTAGAGAAAGTACCGCATCGGGGCAAAATGTGGAACTTAGTAAAACGAAGTCATCTCATCACTGACGCCACATCGACATTCAATACAAGTAGGTGGTGATAATAATACAACTAAGACTGTGGCTTTCCCCACAAAACTTCAACCAAGTGTTCTCCGAGGATTATATTCAGTGCACAGAAACTGCTTCAATTCGTGATATCTCACAAGTGAAATAAGCACTCACTGAGAAGAAGGTCGAATTTTGAGCCTATTCCAGAAACTCAACCTGGAAATGTTCTGTAGTTCACGTGACCTACATTTCCATATTTTGTCATCACTAGTTAGAATGTCACTGAGTAGATCGAAATCAACCAGCGATTGCAAGGTTCCCATCATCGGTCCAGTATATAATACTCGTCAGACATCTGACGACCAACTATTCTCTGGGTAGTCTGACTGGCTTGGTTGTTGAGCACTTGCTCAACTACTACTACATATCGACGGAAATAGGCTCAGACATGAAACAATGTAGGTTAACGGCTGCCTACACACTCTGAACAAATTTTAACACCACACTAGAGGACTAGACCACTCCCATCCCGGTGAATGCTAAAACCTGGTGTAATATTCTTCGAGTTCATCAGACCCTTTAGGAGGGTCTTCCACCAAGGTTTGAAGAAAAAGCTACAAAGCTCTGAGATTGATACTGCAATTAGACACAGTGTCAAACATTTTTTTCTGCGATATAAAGACAAAATCAACGTACAATTTTGCATAGAACATCCGTTTAAGTCGCCACACTTAACGGTAGCATGCAGACAAAAAATACACAGAAAACTACTGGCATCAAAGTCGACAAATCTATATGGGAGGAGCCATTCAAAAATGAAACTTACTCAAAACATTCAACCTTCAAAAGGTGAAGATCCACCGCAATGACCGGGTGATGTTAAATCAATAGCCACACTCGGATTCTATATACGTCTCAAAAACAGCATATACTTATGTCTCGAGATTACAGAGAGCGATAACTACCATCTGGTTTGGCATAGAGTTCGGACGGTGAAAACGACATCAACAGCATACTGCTAGTCATCCACAGAGAACATCCATGCCAACCAGAAGCATGACTTTCCCTTCGGACTTACATCATGCTTTTTGTCTCACCACTACTCAAAGACCTTCCTGGCATGATAAGACCTCGAGGGAACATGCATTTCCCTGGTATAGCTCAATGGATCATTGCAATATGCAAGCCCGACCAACACGTCAAGGTAGTAGCTATTGGTCAGCTGACAGACAGACCATATTACGATAAGCAATCGTTCGAGAAGACCAGTTGAGGATTGCCGCTATTTTCGGGGTACTTTCTTGGACTCTAACCATGCACTTGCACAGTCATATGTAAGTCTGCGACCAAATGAGCACAAAAAACGAACACAAGTGAAGCCTCTGTGTGCTCGGTTGGACGATGAGAACGTCGTGTGTAGTTAGAGAGATACCAAAGCATTTAGCTGGACATGGTAGTAATTTCCTTCCCGATTAGGGCTGGGGTATTGAAATAACGAAAAAAAGTCGAAGGAATCATCGTCAGGTATTATTCAGCAATTATTTAGGGCTGTGCAGAAAAATAGATATAGAAAACAAAGCTACAGTGACGATTGCCGAAGAGGATGGATTCCGAACAGGACAAAGAGAGAACCAGCTTACAAGTTTCGTACGCTGAGCCAAGATCTACCTCGACAGAAAAGTGGCATCAGTGCATGAAGCGTCTGACTGAACTAAGCCATGCAGACTGGTTGGTCAGTCTTATTGAGATAGCGGAAATCGACAGTTTGAGACACTTAGTGACATGGTTGGAAATAGGTGCAAATGTACTCACTTTCCGTTTTCTGAAGTTTGGACACATCCACTAACCTTCAGTTTTTAATGCCTCTCCTCCCATCTACCTTCCCACACCTTTTGTTTGCATGCTGCTGTGAAATTTAGCAACATTAACCTATGCACTTTTGTGCGAATTTCTATGTTTTGTCTGTCTCCCATACCTCAATAATACACAAGGCATTTTCCTTTCACGGTGTTCTCACTGATATTAACATAAGAAAGTTGCGAAAGGATTGATAGAAAGTGTATTTGCACTTTACTATCACATCATCCAGATATTTCATCAATAGATGTCTCAGTAGATAACAGTTTATGACCTTAGAGACTTCATTCTAAAAGGTCAACGGGTGGATTACAACTAGGGCTGTTAGAAGTTCACGTGCAAGTGATCATCAAAGTTCTTCAAACATGATGTGATTAGGGTCTTCCTCCTCGCATCCTGCCAACTATGACTGCAATATAAAGGATTGGTGGTTTTGGAATACGCAAGAAATGCTTATTTATACAAGTGCCATCCTCAAGTAAACTGATGACAGCAGTAGAGGCTAGGACATACCACAGGTTACTGATTAAACTAGAGAACCACATGTATCATCACAAAGTTACTGAATTCACATATGACGTGCTGCGCTGGTGTGACAGATTTGAGTAACGCTCTTACTGTCTCCATACATGTCTACACCTAGATGTATCAAGAGACTAAGTGCTGCACAGATTTGCGTACATGACCTAAATGTTAGCGATAGGTCTCCTGTCAGTGAGACAACATCAAATGGTTGTTAACGGAATAGAAGCTTTCGTTTAACTGGCTTCCACGTCTAGAATCCATGGATCACTAGATCATGTAGTTACTAAACTGTGTAAAACTGAAAAGTGGCGGTTAGAATTTGAAAATCCAGTTAATTCCGAGATCCCACTTACGTCTCAAGTAAGCATCAGGTCGGCGTTTAAAGGATTCAGACAAAGTAGCCTGGATCACTTCTGCAGGAGGAGCACTTCAGAGTTTAACAACTCTCAGGGAATAGAAGTTGTGTCTAATATCTGACCTCCTATATCTTAGGCTTAGTTTCTGAGTATATCCTCTAAAATCGGCGCTGCAACTAAGACTCAATAAGTGATGGGATGGGTCAATACCAAGTCTCCTCTTATTCCTTTATATTCCAGGGGATACAGATCAAGCACGACCAGTCGTTCTTCACAAGTTTTAGTCCTCGAAAACAACTGGTCAAGAGCATCTGGATGCTTTCTAAGATCACCTTTTATCTTTTGCGAAGAACGGCGTAAGATGACAGTCCTGAACTCCGGGTGAGGCCTAAGAAACTGTTGAAAATTTGGTGAAAACACCCACGACCGAAATGTCCAAAAATTCGTCCAAGAGTTGCCAGTACCAGGTTCCCACAAAAGGCGTTTCTGTCACAGTTGGCATAGGATTCAAGTCTTGAGGGACTTAAACGCCCAAATCCTCCATCAGCAACGTTTTAAATCCCGTGCCTTTGAGGCTATATACACGACATGCATCGTGTTTTACGTACACAACCCTGCAGTTTTCAAGATTATATCCCAGCTTTGTAGTTGGGATGCGTTACTCAAGAGGACATCTACCTTTTCTTCGTTGCCCAAAACAACCTTCAAAATCCTCTTCGCATCAGGTTTTTCATCCTTTTTTATACCTAGCCTGACTACTTTGGAGATGCATACTCCTTTAGACGTTCCAGGTAGAATATGTCTGATGGCCGACTCGAGTAGTTTCAGTTCATGGGTCTTCGTCCAATGACTTCAACATCCCAGAAGATAACACTGGGCGTTGGTGTGAAATCCTTGAATCGCGTGTTGACAGCCATCGAAACCTTTTCGATAGGTTTCATAAGCTTAGTAGCTTCGGTGATAAGCTTTGGATATTTCTTCGAATTCTTTCTTGGAGAAATCCATTCAGATTCGTTGGTCACCTTTATAGAGTCAACGTTGCTAACAGATAAGCTCTTTTATTGAATTCTTAGGCATTATAGTCGATGCAATAATTGCCCTCGTTCTCCTCTTGTATCGAGTACGCATCGAAACTAGTGCAACCTCATCAATCAGATCACTAGAATCCAATAGTCTATTGTGAGATCTCGTGTCAGATGTATTAAGAAATAACATTTATGGTGTCATCATCGGATGCCGCATTGATTACACAGTTTCGAATGTCCTACGAGAAACAGCCTGTCATAGACTACCAAAATCATACTGAAAGACTCATTATATAGGTAAGTTTTCATAAAGACTGTTTGCACTTATCAGAAAGACTAAAAAGAAAGTGTGTAATCCCCTCTCTGGCGACGGATGGAAAGTCCAATAGTCTCGCGGAATCTAGTATGTCCAAAGCTGAATGTCTATCGAGTCACTTAAGTGAAGTCTTCTCTGTGGATCATGACAATGAAGTACTCAATAGTGGTGTCAGCACCTATTGCGAGAGAGGAATGGGTTGAAGCCCGCGATTGCCAATAGATGCCGCGTTTAAAGTGCCACATGTGAAATTACTAGATAAGCTCTCCTCTTTCGGGTTCCGTGCTTCATTACAAGCCTGGATTAGGGACTTTCTGTACAACAGAACGCAAAGAGTAAGGGTTGATGGGATACTGTCTGGATGGAAACCTGTGATGAGTGGAATTCCTCAAGGGACAATCCTAGGTCCCCTATGTTCTTGTTATATGTCAACGAATAACCACAAGTGGTCAGCTCTCCGGTGCTGCTATTAGCCGATGATGTAAGGATTTGGAGAGCAATACGTAGTGATGCTGATAGGCATGCACCTCAAGCGGATTTGGATGAAACGGTAGGTTGGTTCAAACGTTAATGCCTGGAAATCAACTCCAATAAAAGTGCAGTAGTACACATTGGTTACAGCAATTGTTTCTAGTATTCCGTTGACAGCACAGCACTACTCACAGTCTTTGAATTGAAAGACTTAGGTGTCATCACAAGTCATGATTTGAAGACCTCGGCGAACTGTAATGCAGCTGTAACAAAGGACTCCACGTATTATGGTCCATCTGTAGAACTTTTAAAAGTCTTGATTACGATATATTCAGAATACTCGATTCTACTTACACTAGACCTCACTTAGAACACTGTATTCAGGATGCTGACGTACTCGAAGGGCAGGTACCAAGCTTGTGGCAGGCCTTTTGAGTCTCCCGTATGAGGAACGACTAGATCGGTTAAACTTATTCCCACTGTATTACTGTGGGAAACAGGGTGATCTCATACTGGCACTTCGTATCCTTAATAATAATTTCGATACCGGTATTTCCTATCTCTCCTATTCTGCTAGGACTGACTATCTTCAGGGATATCCCGAGAATACCCAAAAACCGCGATCGAATCAATCTGCGTTTCTCCCATCGTGTAGTCAACGACTGGAACTCCTTACCCCAGCAGATAGTACCCATACCTTCCGCCAACGCGTTCGAGGAGGAGCCAGATCTTCAGAGATATCTTCTGCAGGGATTATCAGAGGCCAACTGCCCTGCTATACCTATTTAAAAACTGACAATTCGAGAAATGTCAAAAAGCGCTTGCAAAAATTCCCTTCCTCTTCTCAAAGCACGAGGGAATAACACGAACTGTGACATACCTTTGGCTCATACCCTCACGCTCCACTGAAAAAGAAGAAAGAGTAAGTTATGTGAAAGGACTATCTTACCAGTAGACTACATGAATCTTCAGAACCATATTAGAAGTTGCACCTCGAGCGTAATGACGTACAATGTTCAACATACTGCTCCAGCATCCAATGTCCTTGGTGCGAGCAGAGGAAACTTGTAGTTCTTTAGCTTTCGATTCTGGGTCCCATATAGAACAGATCGAATAGCTTCGGTTTTCAGAGTTAAATATTGTGGGCCGAAAGCCCTAATTACTGCTGCCCGTGGGTAGTTTTATGGATATCTCACCTCTATTTACCAGCTTGAGTGAACCATTTGATTTCTTTGCGCTCGCTTCTGGACCTTTGGGTTAAGTTTCATGGATTTTATGGATTCCAATGCAGCAGGTGTGCCGCTAGCGTGCTGTAGTTTTGGTATACCTGATGGGCGGTTGCGTGTTAAATGTGCAAGGGATGATACGTACACTATATGTTGTGGAAGGCTGACGACTTCAAAGGACTCCGAGAACTGGGTTTCTTAAGGAGGTATGCGATAGTGGCCTGCGGACATGTAACAGCGAATAGTTTCCTAAAAACAAAGACAACGGGTCATCAGTGTCCAGTGGAAGCCGCTAGCCTTTTGCACGCGGTGGCTGCATGAAGCGGAAACAACGTCCATTTTATGTTGTAGGAAACTGCCGGCCACGCAATGATTGTGCAACACATTCGACATCTGCTCAGGGATCGTGATTTCATCATTCTCGTGAACCACAAACCGTATACAATTGTGGTGCCGAATAATCCTCCAAAATGAAGAGCATGAAGTTCGATGACATTCACCATCTATACTGACCTTGTAGTTTCAGAGGACTCACTGAGTTGAGGGCTCACGCTCAAGCGCTCACCACATTTAACAGGTTGATGTGTTACGCTGCGGTGCTTGTATGCTGTCGTTTAGCCAGCCAGTCGAAATACGTCGGTATTCTGCAAGTCCGACATCACTACTCAACGTTTGAGCTAAACAAGACTGATGACTCAGTGTGGGTTATCGTCAGACTCGCTCACTCCACATCCCTCGTGATAGGATGCATTTACCGACCCCCTTGCCACTCAGTCAAATGCGACGAGTAGCTAACTAGCGTGTTCGCTTGTGCGGCAGCACTACCACACAGCGAAATTTATATGTGGTGACTTTAATATGCCAGACATAACGTGGCAAACAACCAGCTATCCAAAGTGTTTTGATAAATTCATAGGCATCCTTGAAACAGAGGGTTGGCAACAATATTGAAACACCTTACCAGGTACAGTAGTGTCGTGGACCTAGCCACACCCACAAACCTCCAAGTAGGTACACAGTTTTCAGGTAGCGATCACAAGATAGTATATGGATACTCCAACACATCCAGGACAAAGTTATCCCAGAAGACAGAAACAGCCCTGACTAGAAACTACAAGTATGCTAACTGGGGAGAACTACAGTTGTTTCTGCGCTGCCTAGATTGGAGCCCCTACTTTGCCGACAGTTCAGCCAAAGAATTCTGTGATCTATTTTATGAATATATAGGTCCAGCTCAAGACTACATTGCTCCACCGCTCCAAAGAGAAATTAAGAAAAACAGAGTTTACCTTTTACCTACGAAAGTAGGCAACGGAATACGTAACCACACCAGAGAGTACCGCAAGTCGAATGACTATTCATCACTCGTCACGTTGAAAGGCACGTATGACACATTCAAGGTAGAAAGGGTGCAAGGAGCTGTTAAACAAGAACGCATCCAATGTAGTGAAACCAGTAAAACAGAAGCACTAGGGAGACTGATGAAAACCCGGACGGGCAGCTCCAGGAATAGTACTCCCAGTTTATTCATAGACAACGGGGTCCTCTACGACGACCGGCTAAAAATCTGCGAGCTGTTCAGTTACCAGTTTGCTAGCTGCTTCACACATGGGGACAAAACAAAAGTCATTAGTGCGCCATCAACATCAACCCACTCCATAAGTACTGTGCTCTTCACTCAACAAAACGTTTCTGTAGCCATAGCATCACTTCGAACCTCATACAGTGCTGGACGTGATGGAATCTCAAACACCTTGTTAAAAAGAGGTGGCGGAGGTATACCCCTGATTCTCTTGAGGCTCTTTAATACGTCCCTCTCCGATGGCAATCACCTCGATAACCGGAGACCGCCATACATATGTCCCAAGCATAAATGTCGACCAACATCCAATATAGAAAACTGCCGACCTGTAAACATCGCGTCAGTAGTTAGCACCCAGGACTATGGAAAAGGTGATTGTGGAAGAAGTTTTCGGCTAACGGACGACAAACCAATTACTCTCACCATTACAACATGGATTCTTGAAAGGCCGGTCATGCGCTACCAGCTATTTTGACTACTTAGACAGGGTTACAAGCTAGCGTGACCAAGGTTTATTTGTAACTACCCTTTTCTCAGACTCCTACCAAGCATCCGATGAGTTGCCTCACAAACGCCTGGCCGCTAAGTTGCAAACATTTAGCTTGAAAGACCCGTTACTATCCTGGCTTGAACCATCACTGAAAGGTCGCTCCCAAGTAGTAAAATTCATTAGTTGCTAATTCTCATCAAACCCGCACAAGGTGGTGTCGTACAGGGCAGTGTGATAGGGCTGTTATGTTTCCTAATCTATGTAAACGATATCTGCAGTGTTGTCTGAAATGGCATACTTTACGTTTTCACAGATGACTTGAAGATAGTCAACAGCTTTCCTAATGCGGCACTGGCACAGAGTTTCTGTCAAATACAAGAAGATCTGAAGAGAATATTCCCGTGAGGTGCTGCCTGTCAGCTCCCTTTAAACCCAAAACAGTGGCTCCCTCCATTTCGATAAATCCCACCCAGAAGTAACACTTCACTTGGGTGACATTGCATTGCAGATACACAACACCGTGGAAGACCTAGGAATCACTCACTCCAGGAGTTTGACCTTTACGGAGTATGCAGATTCAAAAGTTTCCAAAGGCAGAAGACTCACAGGTCTTCTACAAAGAAACACACGCCTAAGGCGAAACTTATACTATACAAAGTTATGGTTTGCCCAATATTGGAATATTGCATAGCTATCTGTGGCAACATGGAAGTATCTGATAGAATTCGAGCAGATGACGTCCAATGAAACTTTACTCTGCCCCCACCAACACATAACGAAGGACTTCCTCACGAAGCAAGGTGCAGAAACTGGAACCAGAATCACTGTGGCTGAGACGCCTGAAGCTCAACCTAACCTTTCTTTTCCGCCTATTATTTGAGAAGTGCAAAACGAACTGTGCCATGACTTTTAATTCAACACAGGCATATGGTCTTCGTAATAGCGAACACACCATTCCAATAAATAAGTGTCGCTCAAAACTTCGACGTAGGTTTTACATAACGCAACATATTACGCTGTGGAACAAACTTACCACTCATATAAGAGCATGTCGATCCCTTGGCCAGTTTCAACGATTACATAGTGAATTTTTTTTATCTAACGATTCTCACCACTTCGTTAACGGCCAAATCGCAAACCGTAATACCATGCGCAATGGTGCTACTGGTACCTAGATTCGAGGGAGACTAGCAGCAATGACAAAAGTATACAATGCCGAAAACCAAACGCATAGGTTGAGACAAAATCTAATTTAAAAAAACTGACCTAGAGTGGACGGAAATCGGAGTGCGATACGATTTGCAATAGTGAACCCTATAGCTACTTTGATGTAACCTCCATTTCTTCGTAACCTGACTGGCCTCCCGACTTGACACCTAATTCTTGGAATTTTTCCTTTAGGATAATCTCCTTACCCCTGACTGATAAATGAAATGTTTGTCAGTGGATTTTTTAGCACGTTACATGTTTTATTATTCTCCCTTTGTTATCAGTACTTACATTTAAGTACTCTGAACCACCATATTGCCTTTACAACCCTGATATAGTAACGCTCAACGGGCAGCACCATGATCATCCCTCCCCTATGACCATATAAAGCGTGGTTAGCGTCTTAGCAAAAACCATGAATTTTGTTTAAATGTTTATAACTTCATCAAACTCTTGTACACAGGCTCTTAACACAAGCGAATACCTGGTTCAAAATCCTCTGATCTCTCTATTCCATAGTGACGTCTTCAGTTCCAGCTTAGTTTCCACCACTTTCGCACGCACCTTCATCTTGTTCCGCCTATGCTTACCTCCAAACAGTTGGCTCTGGATACTTCTTCAAATAACATTTGTAGTCAGTAGAAAGAACTCACCCGTATGCATCATGGTTGACCTACTGCGTAGTATTTTGTGTTCCTGTTTCGAATTTCCCTGCCTCTCGCTTTTGTTACTCATTTTTCAGATCTACCCAACCAGTCCTTCATCCATATGGAATCCTAGTAATCTCGTTTTTCATTGTGCACCATGTCATCAAAACTTTATGACGAACCGCACAGCCCAAGGTCACGACTGTCTACCCTACGTTCAAGAATATTGGAAGATTCAAACAGTAGCCCAATAATTCCTAACTTCGAACTGAGCTTGCTTCAGCATGCTGAACAGTTATGTTGGTGTTTATCTGTTTTATTCTTTGCTATCTGCGAAGCGTTAACTTTCGTCCTCTAGACGCACCCCTCGCCTGCCATAAATAACGGTGTCTTATGCACAGCTTAACATAGTATACAACAGTCATTTCTCATTACCAAAATGTTCAAACTTGTAAAACGGTTTGTATTCGTGTAACTTATGTCGTATGAAATATGTCGTTATCATTATAGCACTTTACCAAATATACCCTTCCACCTGGCCACACCATGGTATTCTTTCTCGGTCCCGCACTTTTGTGTATTTACAAGTACGAAGAAGTAGTAATTGGCCTTTGCGCCCACCAAGTTTCCACAAAATCAATTATTAGTGTGGTGAGCCCACTCCTCTTTACGCTTAAGAATTTCTACCCTCACATAGAAAACTCTTGTTACCCAGATTGTAAACTCCCGTATCCATG